TCCTTTTTGAAACGGAAAAGAGACAACAAGATAGGCCAAATAAGTGAGATAACAATTCTAGGCGTTTGGAAAATATTAATTGAAGTTGAAAATAAAGATCGTATTTGGATGTTGAGTTGTATTTAAAATTAAATTTTATATGATAGAAAAAAAGTTGAATTTTTGTGAACGAAAACTGAGTTCACGAGACAAGTTTTCAACAATTCATCACTATTTCAATTACTGAAGTTCAGTAAGTTTAATTTAAATTAAATATGGATGATCAAATAAGTATACCCAGAGGCGGACCTACATGGTGGCTTGAGGGATCACGTGACCCCGTTAGTCTCGGCATAAATTCTGTATATACATATATATATATATATATAGGACCCCTTAAATATTTTAGTTGTGCCCCTTGAAACAAAAAGGCGAACGAAAGAAGTGGTTTTGCTGGGCGGCTTAAAGTCCCTTGTTTGTTGAATGATCCGGGTTCGAGTTCCTCCTTCAGTGTTATTGAATGAATACAACGTAACTTTATGTACTTAATAACAAATTGTTTTAATTTATTCTTTATTCTTTTTCTTTTGAATTCAATTATAGTTTAGTTCTAACTTCTAATACATAATAGTTAATTATTATTTTTTTCAAATTCATGCCTTAAAATTAAAAGCTTCAAATTAAAATTTATCACTCCACAAATAGAAAAATAAAAATCCTTATGCCACAACTTTCTCATTAATCACTTTGACTCCGACTTAGCAATGAAAACTACGAGTTTAAGACTCTTTTTTAGTTTTTTTTACTATTAACATACCCTTAATCTTGATTTCTTTGAAGTTTGAATGCCCTTTTGATTATTAAAAATAAATTATAAATTTTAAAGTGCGAACCATGCTTAATCAAACATTTTTCCTTTCCATAACACCCACTAGTGATTAGCATACAGTGGTGCCCCACCATGCTCAAATTCTGGCTCCGCCTCTACCAGCTAATATTAACTTTCAATAATTCACAATCTTAGTCTTTCGAAATTGTGGGCATTGGAGGGTGGAGAAGGGCAGAAATAATGATAAAACAAAATTTTCGTGTATTTTTTTATGCTTGTTGATTTGTTAGCTTACAAGAGGCTGGAAACAATGAGAACGGGCGAGCACCTCATTCTGCTTGGAGAAACTATGATAATTTTAATGAGTATTTCTGGTAAGCTTTACTCCCAAGGTTGTAGGACTCCCACTTCTGCAATCTTCTCACTGACCCTTCCACTACTCTGCAGGTCCCGTCATTGCTTCAAGCTTGGCTGGCCATGGCGGAAGATTCTTCCTTCTTCCTGCATCCAACACCCTCAAAGGTTTGGGATTTTCTTTTGGTATCGTTATGTATGTTACATTGTGATATTCCATCTTTATAAAATCTCGCTAGAGGTATATTTGTATCATTATGCAGGTTAAAACACGAAAATGAAGAGCTTCATGTTCACAATTTAAAAGTGTTGTATCCCTTCTGCTGCAAAGTAATATAGTTCATGTTTCTTGGAAGGAAGAAATTGGCATTGCTCCACGGAAAAATAATTGTATTAAGGATGGTAGTTTAAATTGAAAGCCCTACAATGTGGTGAATTAAATTACCCATTATCAGAGCTCATGCAACCTTCACTTAAAGAATTCTTGAAACACATTGACCCTTTTTTATAAATCAGGATATAACCCTTTTTTGAAAAGAGAAATTGCATACATTTGATTCTGTTTCGGTAGCTCTCTTGACTCTTTCTGTAAGGCAGCATTTCTGCTTTCATATGTAGTATCTTTGACTGCAATCTTCAATTGAGTAAAAATTTGAATCATTTTTCATTATCTTTTTACAGTTACCGGTGCTCAGCATTAGTCGGTCTTAGATCTAGGTGGCTGTGGATAATTTAGTATCAATCTGGTTACCATGAATTTTTTATAATACACTTATCGGTGGACATAAAGCATGTGTTACTGATTTTCATGTGTATTTCCAATCTCTAGTTTGGAACATTGTCCTCTTGTTTCTTGCTAAATTCTGCTTTATAATTTTTTAGGTTTCAATTTTTTTAGCTTGTAACTTTCGTTTCCTATCTGCTACAGAATATTCTTAAATCTGGAGATGGCAAGTGCAGGGGAAAAACTTCTTTTGTTGAGTACCGGACATTTCTCCATCTTTAACACAGTTTTCATCGTCTTTGGATGTTTCTTTTCATGTTTTTTCCAGGTCTGCTACTCGTCACTGATAGCCGTGATATTTCCTCTTTTCTTTAATCTAATGTTATCACTTTACAAAATTAGCTAGCTATGTCACTAATGAGGTTTGGAGAGTCTTTAATTTACATGGAAGTTCAAGAAACAAATTAAAATATTCTTTCTAGGTGCTTCCTTAAACTAACAAGATTTTGAAGGTGAGAACTTGTTTAGTTTTTAGTTTCTCTGTTCTACTTAAGTTGCTTCCTTTTCTTTATTTTATTTTTCAATATCATAGTCAAATTCGCAGTTGCGAACTCTGTAAAATCGTGTAATTAAGATCCCTCATCTGTTCAATTTTTCGATGCTCTCCTCTATTTCAGCATTTCATGCTCTAAAGGTCCCACTTTTCCTCTTTAATTTGAGTATGCTAAGTTCTTGGTCTTTAGACTATTCTTTTGTAGCCTTCAGTTTTGATTTGAAATATGGAGATATTTTTAATTATCCTAAAATATGTGATAGAACTTTGTTGGGTTCATGTGTATTTGAGTGCTTCCATTTGTCTACTGTAGAAACATGTATTTAGGGATTTAGATGCATGCTACCTTATATATATGCATCATTCAGTTGCACGATTTTGTGGAGTCCCTTTTGTTGTATGACCATGTTGTAGTTGTTGTGTATTGATCTATGTGTCCAATTCATTTGTTCGCAACATGAAGTTTCATCATAATTGTCCAGAAAAGGTCATCATTATGATTTTTAATTCTATAGTTAATTTTTGGTTTCTGTGGGTACTTTATTAGTAAGTTATTCTGAGGTTTTGAAATGATAGATTTAGGCTTTGTGAGAATTATGTGATCTGTTTAGCTACTACTTAATATGATTTGTAGGAACCAATATTGTTAGGCTCTTTTTATGTTTGTCTTGTTATAATTTGGCGTAAGATTTTGGGTTCTACATAACCGATACTAAAAGAATCTTTGTAATCCAGTTAGATACCTCTAGAACTCCATACAAGTAGCTACAAACTTGCATTGTAACAAAACTAGAGAATACCAAATTGTTCCTTGCTTCGTTGTATTTCAGGTGAAATCCTATCAAGAAATATTATAATGGATATAAATTTGATTTACTTTTGGTAGTTAATTTGTTAAGTCATAAATATTTTGGAAGTTTCTTTGAGTTAAGATCTTAGCAAACGCAAGTGATGCTCTTCGTTGCCTCAAATGAATGTGTGTTAGACAATTGAATTATCTTACTAGGCTACTAGCTGAGAAATCTCACTACAATATCACGGATGTATGTCAAATGACAATGAACTTCAAATTATTGCAACAATGCCATGAACTTCTATGCTCTGTGTGTATTAAGCTCTAACTTTTGTCCCTATGCTTTTGGATTTGCTCAAGTATACTAATTATTAACTCTTCTACGGATGTAGCACCTACAGTTCCTACCTCTTCTGCTGCTGCTAACATTGATGAGGTTCATGCATTGGGTTCTGACGATGATCATGACTCTCCAGCCTCGCATAGTTAGCCTATTTTGTTTAGACTTTATTGTTGGTGCTTGTGGATGTTTTTTACTTAACGATACAATTACATGCATTATATTATATATCATGGACCTTGTCGAATGTTAATTATATTAATATTAGTCACTTTTAATTAAGTGTATTTAATAGCGTTTATGTAATATGCTTGAACAGGGTACATTTAAAATAATAAATAAATAAAAACATTAAAAAAATTAGCGATAGATATTTTTCGTAGCTAAAGTTAACGAATTATTAACGAATTAAATTAAATATTGCGACGGATTGGCGACAAAAGATTTTTATCGCTGAAACAACGAAGAACTAGCGACGGATTGTTTCGTTGCTAATAAGAACAAACGACGAATTTTTTTATGAAGTGTGGCGACAAAATTAGTCAAAATAGCGACGACACAAAGCAAAATAGCGACATATATTTTGGTCGCAAAACTTGGCTACAGATATATTTCGTCGCTACTCCGTCGATAGATCTGCGATGGTTTTGTATTTTTCGTCGCTATGAGCTTAGATACAAGCATCTTAGAGACCAACTTGAATCCGTCGCGAATTCGTCGCTAAACTCTTTTAGCGACAGAAATAACATCTACAGCGACGGAATATGTCGGTCGCTAAACGCTGTTTTTTTTTTTGTAGTGAACCGATCTGGTCATTACATTTCTCTTATCTTGAAACTGGCAGAGCCACTGAAAAAGTTGTCATCATCCCGTCCCTTGAAAGGTACATCTCATTTTGGATTTCTAAATTTAGGCCACCTTAAGAAAAGGAATAGTATTTGTTCCTCAAATCTTGTAGTAGATAACAGTAATATGTATTTTTATCGTGTTGGACATAGAGAAATAATTAAATCGTTGTGGAGGATTTTTGGATTGTATGCACTCTCTCCGAAACATGTTTTTCCTATTTTGTGTTTAGCAACCTTTGAATTCTTAGCGAAATGATGAAAAATAAAAAGTAACAGTAAAATATTTAACCTATTGTTGCATAAGTCCTAGACAATCTTTGGAGAAAAAACCCAAAGCCCGAAGAGCCAGAAAGCTCAGAATGCACTGATAGTTCCATTAATAAAAGAAACATATCTGATTTACACAAATAGCCACTTTCTGATTATTTAGAAATTCACCACTTTTACTAAATTAGTCTAATGATATGAAGTTTGTAAGTGGCTACTTAGTTTGAAATTTAATATTCAAAACTAATATTCAGATTTCAGACCGCAAGTCTAATTTTGAATTCTAAATGCAAGGCCAAAAAAGTAGCTTGCTAGTGTAAATAACCCAATAAAATGACTAGACAAAGTTCATATAGCAAAAAATATGAATTACAAGTCAAAGAAAAATCTAAAGATAAACCCAAATACCATTGCCCAAAGGGGCAAGAAAATTTTATTTTTGGGTGACAAACATGGTTCCACAGTACAAATACATCAAAATACAAAGCGAAGAGAAACTTGAAAGAAATGTTGGAAAGCAACATCAAAGTTTGCAACAGCTAGAGGGAAACAGAACTGCTAATGTTGAATTCAAGATCCTAGAGCTCAAATGATCCATTCAAAAAATCGTAGTGTCCACCTTTTGGAGCAAGGCTTTCGTTCACTACAGCTTCCCTCACAAATGGATATGTTAACAAGTTGGCTAGTGATTCATTTACTGCCTCCTGCTCAATGTCACACAAATATTTAACTTAATATAAGTATTCAAAGTTGCAAAGTTTCAATAATTGAACTAAAAATATAGCATAGCTTGTTGAATAGTATACTACTTTAATTACCTTCTCCAATATTGTACATTGTTCAGTGAAATTCTTGTTGCCATGTTCTCTCTTTACCTTTGCCTTTGATATCAAACCGATTTTGATCAATTCTTCTATAAAATGACTGCGACCAACATAATCAAAGTTTAAAACGTGGCAGCAGTGAAATGACTATGAAATTTTAGCTTATGAGGAAGAGCCGGTGGTTATTCTAGACCGGCAAATTTGTAAGTTGAGATCCAAGAGTTTTCCTTCTATGAAAGTGCAGTGGAGAGGTCAACTAATCGAGGAGGCTATGCGGGAGTCCGATTTCGATATGAGGAGTAGATACCCCCACCTTTTTATCAGTCTAGGTATTTTTCAATGTCCTTCGAGAAACGAACGTTTCTTTTATAGGTAGAGAATGTGATGATCCGATAGGTCGTTTTGAGTAATATCCTTAATTTTCGTGTTCCGAGATCTCCCATAGTTTCATTAAATATTTCTTGATTTGCGTTCGTGGTCCTTGTCACTTTTTAGACAGCATTATGTGAAAAATTGAAGAAAATGAAAATTTTGACTTAAAATGAGGCTAGTGTTGACCACGGTTAATATTTTAGGTAAACAATCCCGGATCGGTATTTTGACAATACCGCTAGGTTCATATAATATTGTTTTGACTTCTACGCATATTTGGTTGGGGTCCGGGGTGACCCGAATGCGTTTTGACGCATTATGTGTGAAATTATGAAAATTGAGTTTAAGTTGAGAATTCTTGAGTATTGAGGAATGATTCTTGTTATTTGATGTTATATTTATGACTGGAGGTAGTGAGTAAGTTTTTATAATGTTATTACACTTGTGTGTATGTTCGGTTTGGAATCCAAAGGGCTTGAGTGAGTTTCGGGTAAGTATCGTATGAGTTTGGTTGGTTTGGGATTGCTGGTGCAAAACTACTGGTGTTTCAGGTCTGCAGATCTTGCATTTGCGAGCTCGTGTTGCGTACAGTGATTGCACTTGTGATATGGGACTGGTGGGCTTGTACTTTGATTTTGCGAATATTTGATCGCATTTGCGGACTCTGGAAGTTTGCATTTGCGACTTTTGAGTCGCTTTTGTGACTTGGAGCTAGTGGCTGGAAGCTTCGCAAATGTGAAGCTTAACTCGCATTTGAGGTTGAGGGGTGTATTGCATTTACGAGAACTTTGTCGCATTTGCAACATCTGTGCACCTGATGACTGTTTGCATTTGCGATCAGTGTCTCACATTTGCAAATAAGTGTTTGCAAATGCAACACTTGCAGCTGGGTAAAAGAGGAAAAAACGGGACTTAGCTCATTTTATGCCATTTCTCAACCTCAAACACTCTAGAGACAATTCTTGAAGAACGTTTTCTTCCCAAATTCATTGGTAAGCAACTCTAAATCATTTTCTATCAATTTTCCATTATAGTTCATGATTTTTTAACATCAAATCTTGAATTTCATTGTAGAAATTAGGAATTTTGGGTAGAATGTAGGAATTTTATAAAATTGAGATTTAGACATCAAATTGAGGTCGGATTTCGAAACAAGTCACATAATCGAGCTCGGGGATAAATGGATAATTGGATTTTGGTTCGAATCTCAGATTTCTACCGAGAGAATCAGGGGTTGACTTTTTTAATATGTTCAAAATTTAACCTTTTCATTCGTGGATAGTTTCTAATGCTTATTTTGAATTGTTCGATCGATTAGTGACTAGATTCAGTTGGTTTGGAGGCTTGTTCGAAAGGCAAGGCCGTATTTGATTGATTGGTTTTTTTTACAGATTGAGGTAAGTATCGTGTTTAACTTTGACTTGAAAGATTTAGGACTAGTTGGTCTATTTGCTATGTGACTAGTATATATGCACCTTAATGAGTTAAAGCATGCGGATGGAAATTGATATATTATATAATGTTGCTTCTTTTACCATGCATTTTATATTTTAATTAGATTGTTATTCTTAGATAGTTCTCTTCGTGTTTATTTATTAATTTGAAGTTGTTGGGATATCGGAAGTTGAATTTGTGTATCATAACAACACGATAGAAGTTAAAATTGGTTTCCCATTACTTGATACTTTGGATTATTGTTTTTGCTTAGTGAGGAAGAGTGAAAAGCACGAAGGGTGTTGCCATTTCATATTTACTTATTGTTATCATTGAATGCACGAATGAAAAGATTACGGCACAAAGGGTGATGTCGTACACTTATTGCTTTATTATAATTTATTTTATCATGTAAGAATGAGAGTAAAGCATGAAGGGTGATGTCGTGCCATTTCTTTTATCATATCATTATCATATGGTGAGAATGAGAGTAAAAGCACGAAGGGTGATGTTGTGCCATCACATTTATTATATTACATGGTTAAGATGACAGTAAAAGTATGAAGGGTGATGCCGTGCCATTTGATGATTTTATTATTTTACTTGATTTTCGGATTTATGAATTGTTTGTCTACATTGTTGTTCATTTCGGAAAGAGGCTACTTGGTGAATTTGTGCTTACCGTTCTTATCTTACTCCCTTTTTACATGTTTCCTCCCTATTATTATTTTAAATGCTCTACTAGTTATTTATATTGTCTTATGTATATATCTGCACATGTTTTTAAGTAGGTGTCTTGTCATAGCCTTGTTACTGTCTCGTTAGTGTTAGGCTCGACATTTACAGAGTATATTAGGTCAGTTGTACTTATGTTACACTTCTACACTTCTTGTGCATATTTTGGTATTGGTCCCAGCGGTGTCTACGGAGCTTCTGCTCGGATCATATCTATCAGGAGACTTGAGGAGGACTTGCACAGTGATCGTAGTCTCTGGAGTCCCCTTCTTTATCTATCTTTACTGTTTATTTTATTTCGAACAGTTGTACTTTCATTCAGACTTTAGTTGTAGTACTTTTTGCATGCTCGTGTACTTGTGACACCAGATTCAGAGTTTAGGCTAGTCAGTGTTGGAGTTATTATATCTACTTTGAAATTTTATAGCTATAATTCTTATTACATTGCTTTCAATTATCTAAAAATTATTAGTTGTGTACTAATGTTGGATTACCTAGGAAGTGGACGTTAGGCACCATCACGGTCATGCGGTTGGGATTTCAGGTCATGACAGGTTTAGGTTGGAATTTTAGATTGAAACTCAAAAAAACAAGACAAAAATAAACTATATATTTTTTGTATATTGGGTGCACAAACGATATATAAAATATATACAACTAACATAATTATATATAAGTTGTATATAAGTTTATGAAAATTATAGCTTTTTACCGGATTCCATAGAAAAACTATATACAAGTTGTATGATATTGTAGCATGTCACGACCCCAAACCGGACCTGGTCGTGATGGCGCCTCTCGTGAAGA